GACAAAGTTTTAGTAGTATTTTTAGAGGCAACCTCAATACTCCATCTGCAGCCCCAACACAAAGATGTGTATATTTCCACAGAACAGCCCACGTCAATGGAATTGTAATGGTCCAATGTGGAATGCTCTGGAGAAATGGACATCCTCTGGTGTGCATGACAGAGGTTATCCTGTTTCGTACGCACTCACATCGGTTCCAAAACCATTGAATTCCTACTTTCAAAGGTGCCAACATTTCTTTTAACTCCAGGTTAAAAGCAATCAATAAAATAAAAGTAATAAATTCACTTTCTTGAAAGAGAGAATTCTATTTTGCAAGCCATATTTAAAATTATGTATCTAGATATACATATATAAAGTAGCTAAGTAAAAAAAAATTACTCATCTGCTTTCTCTCTCATTTGAAGACATTCATAATATGCTTATTTACTTGTGGGCTTTATGTACATTGTATCTTTTTCACTCAGTTATCAAAAAAGGACAAAGATTGGAAGACAATATTAAAGATAAGAATACAATTTTAAACTATGTTTCTAAGCAGAAAATTACAAGCAGAGTATGAATACTTTCTTCCTATACACCATTTGTTTCAAATAAAGGTGTACAGCTAAGCAAATCATGCTCTGTTGTATAATAGTATTTTATGAAATGTGGTAATTTGAAGATTTAACTTTTAATTTTTAAAAATGTCTTTGATCCAAACATCACCTTTTAGTATTTTTTTTACTTCAGTCCACAGCTATGCAAGAAATGGAAAATTCAAAAATAGTCTAGGCAAAAAAATGCAAATGGGCATAGACACTCTGTGCAGAAGAGAGTGAAAAATACAGACTTTGCGGGCTCTGTGGCTACAGCATCCAAAAACCCACAAAATTAAATTAGAGCTACTTTATCTAGACAGTGCAGTCACAACCTCAGAAGATTTAAAATATATTTCTGGAACTTGATGAATATCATGGAATTATCTTGTTTTTCTGAAAATTTTCCTCCAATTAATTTGGAGTCACTTTCAATACTGCATGTTCCTATTGCTCTCACAATTCCTGGAATTACTATGAACAAATGAAGGATTCGTAAGTGACAACTGCACAATCAATATATATACCAACTGTATATGCACCAGATGTATCTGAACCCCCAAAATATACAGCAGGAGGTCATCTGACAAAATGAATGACAGGTATTTTGACATCTTCAGTGAGTGTATCTGCCACTTATAAGAAAAAACCAATTTGTTTATGTTTTATTAAATTTTATTTGTAATCCCATTATAGGTTTTTGCATTTTCTGTCTGAGATTTAATACCATGGGGGAATAGGAACCCCAAAATTAATCATAGAGTAAACATAGGAAACCCATAATTAATTATGCTGATGCAGAGAAGTATTTTTGTGAATCTTATTTTCTAATATGTATCAATCACAGTCAGCATATCCACATCCAAGTCAAACATTTGTGCAATCACCCTCAAATATGCTTTTCTGATGGAGGTAAGCAAAAGAAAGAAAAACAAATTATGACACCATCAAAATACTCCTAATTTAAGTTTGCATGGAAATTATAGGCAGAATTTTTATTATTCCTAAAATGCAAAAATAAATATAAAGAACCTAACATTCTGACTTATTTGATAAAAACATATTTATCATCATAATGATATAGATGGTACCAGGTTCAGAAGCATTAACACGCAAAAAAAGTCTTGTTTTTCCAGTGTTAGCTACTAGGTAGAAACAGCAAACCATGACAAACTGCAAGAATTTTTCCCATTTTAACTACATACTTTTGCTCCAAAGACAATAAGCAGTACAAGTCAGGAGGATGATGAAAAGAAGTTGAACATCAAAATTAAAAATCAATGCTGCAAAAAACACCTTGAAATATTCCATGCATTGCTTGGTAGGTTTCCTTCAAGAATTTTAAACTCATGCATTCACTGACAAACAAGAGTTTACCAAAAACTTCCACTTCCGAAAATTCTCATGTAGTCAGAAAGTTTTATTATGTTCTTTATAGAGTATGAAGCGCCTAATGCAGTACCAGCCATACAAGCTGCCCTAATGCTGGACATGTTAAACACAAACATTGCAAACTGTTTCCTAATGTGTTATATTTAAATCTCTTCAGCACTGTCTATAAAAAGCTGACCTATCTTTTTATTTCTATAATGAAAAAAGATCACACATGTACAAAATTTTTGGGTCTTTTTTGGGTGCTTTTTTTGAGGTTTTTTGGTTGTTATTTTTGTTCTGTTTTGTTTTGAAGTTGAACAATGGCTCTACACTTCGCTTGGCTCTGCTACAGGTGTTTTATGGACAGTCATGATGAAATGGTTAACCTTGTGGATTTGAGTAACTGGAGTTCAATTTTCTAAACATATGATCTGTTATTGTAATATCCAGTAGTGGTGACTGAATAATTTAGTTTAAGTTAGAAATTATAAAAATAAATCCACCAAACCACAAAAGACCAGTATTGAAATGGAAAAGAACCCAGCTTCATTTATAAAGGTTGGCTTTAACAGAATCTTCAGCTTCTGAAATGCCTGTAGACAAGCAATACAGTAGCAAGCTGGAGGGAAAGGAGAAACCTACAGCGCTCAAATATTTAAAACTGATGGAATCAAAATTTTCTGGTTGAGAATTTTAGGTGCTGCAAGACATGATAAACCTCTAAGAAAATTTATCCCCCCTCTAAAGTTTATTTAAAAAGTATGCTGCAAAGAAGGTGCATACGGTTTCAGTTCTAAGTGTAGAATATAGACAGGTAGCTTCAAAAGCCTAAGTACAGTATCGTGCAATGACAGGTTCAAAGAACCTCGTGTATTTCTAGATGTCCTCCTGCACCTATGACTCTCCTTAACCCAAGAACAGGAAATAAAAAAAACCTAGGAAAAATCTTTGAGGAGTCAATAGAAGGCAAAGGAAACCAACCTATGAATCCATGTTTCTGGACTCTTCGGGAACTTTGTTAACGCCAGTTTTCCAAGATGCAAATCTTTAAGTGGATTTAAAGTGCCAGACAGTATTAATTCTTTCCTACAAAAGATAAAACAAATCTGTGTGAATAAAAGCAGTAACCTGAAAACAGAACACAAATCCCAGTAACAAACTGCATGGCATTTCCTTTGTATCATAACAGAACTTCACTGTCAAATGACAGGAGTTTAAAAGGCCATTAGTGCATTAATCCATTCCACTATACATATATATGTACTATACATATGTATATATGTAGAACTTATGAAGTGTATATATGTAGTACATATGAAGAACTTAATCTCAATACATAACCCGTTAGTTCACAAACCTATCCAGAAATTACTGCATCAACTACCAGTAAGGTTACATACACGAATAAACTACCCTTCTTGAAATGAAGCCCTTAGATCACTGTGCACATCTGAAAATACTCTTATACATAGCACTCCTCCACACATACCTGTAGTTTTTAAATACTGTTCAAGATAAAGTGTCAAGGTTCCCTAAATTTATAAAGAAAAGGAAAATATTCTCTGTATGTAGAATGTTTTACAAACTTAACGAAAAGTTGCAAATTGCTCAGTTTGCTTAAATGCAAAACAATTTTTGGTTAAAAAATAAAAATTTGCCCTGACAAAAATTAATGTTCTTCCAACACAACCCTTCCTAGAGTACCTCCCACAGACAGAGTGAAGTTAAAATCTGCACTTGGCCTTCTCACCTTCTTTGCACAGACCTCCCTGCCCCTCACCCTCCTCTTTCTAGCTTTATAAATCTTACTGCCCCTATCCTGAGCATGTTTGTAGACATCACCACATCTCTGGTTACTCCAAGGACATTAGTCTTCATATCCTATTCTTCAATCTAGTAAGTAGCAGCTTTGAAGTATAGATACAGTAGTTCCAAAGTTACTATATGCAGGAAGAAAGCACGCATTTCCCAGAACCTGCATAAGTCGCAACTGGAAACTGAGAGTGCAAAAAGCAGAAGCAATTTTGGCATGGGTTTGGGTTTTGGTTTCTCATAATAAATTCTGATTCATCATAGTAATAGGCATGGCACTAGTAAGTGAGGAGTAGATGATCAACCCTCTGACCAAAAGATTTCAGTGGGATGAGAGGTAATAAATTCTGGAAAGATCTACTATCAAATAAGAAGGCAAAACTCCTCTGCAGTCTGATGCAGAAAATATAATGTCGCCCCAAAGATAAGGCCAGAGTCTCACAAACAAATTTACGTGTTTCCTTTCTCTGAGTACGTATTTTCTGTCTGTCTTGGTAATTTTCAGTAGGAAACTGACTCCCATCTGGTACTTTGACTTTGTGTTGCTGTAATTGAAACTTATAACCACAGTCAGAAGCTAATAGCTGCAACATTAACAGTGAGCAAGTATTATTTCAAATTGAAGCAAAGTGGGGAAATATATAAATCCTTATGGAAGTGTTGCTTTTGATAGCTACTGGGGTATCTGTTTTTATCTCAAGCAAGTTCCAGCATGCTTCAGATTGGATGCTTTTGGCTGTTTTTTAACAAGCAGTTCAGATATACCAACCAGAAGTGGCAGACTGACCAGACCAATTTGTGCCAGTGCACTCAAATTTGGAAAGCATACAAAAGAAAGATTTAGAGTCAGCACTGGAGCAGGTGGAACAACTGCCTCCTTACTGCAGTGCAAAAGGTAATGTTTTGGTAAAAATTACTTACCACACACACAGAATGAAAATACAGCCTAGATCAGTCTGATACTTAAAACAAATACATCTATATATTTATCAAAGATTTAGATTACCAGGCCACCTATCTCCCAAAACATAAACTTTGAGTGAAGAAATTGCTCTTTCTAAAGTCAAACATTCACTGGAAGTAAACAGCCTCGCACTTACACACTCTTACAGTAAACTTCCTCTTTTGCTAAAATGAGGAACAGAACAGACAAGATCAACCATCTGCTGTAGTAGAAATGCTGGTTTTAGCTGTAATGATTTTCAAATAAGAGATTCTCCCATTCACAAAGGACCACAAGCACTAGCAGGGCTGAAGTACCAAAAACTCCCACATAAATCTCTTCTAAGCTCTTTCACCTAACAGCCAACTTCCTAGCTCACTTCCTTGACATGTGGATCATAGATAATGCTTCAGCCTCAAGAATTTTAGCTCCCATAAAAGATCATCTGGAGTCATTTTGACTTACCTTATGATAACACCTTTGAAGTCATTCATCTGAAAGCAAAATGTGACTTTTCAGAGCATCTTGTTAACTAATGTCTTTTCATCTATTGTACATGCCCAGAAAGTATAACAGAAGAACAAAGGCATTTATGAAAATTCCTTTACAATCACTTACATGAAATTTTGGTCATTTTAACTTGCAAGATTTTTCTATTTTTAAAAACACAGGATAACTGAATTTAGGATTAACAACTAGAGATCTCTCTTATCCCATTCAATATAGCAGGGGTTTCTTTCTCAGTTTTTAGGAAGTGACACACCTACTCTTTAGCACATCTTCCTCCACCATATAATTACTTCTTGCTCAGGTCTCAGGGTTTAGGTTATAGTCACTGCCCTTCTGTAACTTTCCAGTCACTTCTAATTTACAAAAATAAATAAACAACCAACGTATGTAGTAGGCACATTACAAATCTTCAGAAAGCTACATAGTCAAGGCAGACCATCTACTCCTAGCTTGCCTAGATAACATATTTGAAGTTCTGTGTTCTCCTGTGCTTCATTAATCAGATATAACTTCCTATGATTGTCAGCTGAGCTGAAATGCTCATTTGTCTTCCACAACATCATTTTAGTGCTCTGACTTGGCTCTGCCAAGTCCTGTGTCCTTTTCTAAGAAGAGATTTCATTTTCTCTCTCTTCAAGTTCAGTGCTACTGAGTCAACCGCTATCTCTGAAGCTTTCAGCATAATTCAACATATGAGAAAGGGATTATCCCAGCCTGCAATGAAAGAGTCAATAAATTACAAGGAACACACTGTGTGGAGGACTACTATTCAGTAAACAACTAGAACACACTTTATTTTTTAGGCTACTTAATAGCCTAAAAAATAGTCTATGAGGCTTTTTTTTCCCCCTCAAAATAAAGCAGTGAATTTGTGTATGGAGAATGCAAGATGAACCTGGCATGACAAACATCGTCTGAGCAACAAGAAACCAATCATCCCACAACAGATCCATCATGTTCTGCAAGCAGAGCTCAAGTCTTATACAATTAGTTCTCAGCTCAAACTACCTCAGCATAAGGAATTATCACCAGCATCTGTACAGAACACAGTCAATCCTCTGCTCTGTAACTGATTATGCCACACATCTGGCTTGCTTGACCTGTAATTCCACAGAGAAGCTGAAATCTATGTCAACATAACTAGTGCTCCAAACTTCAAAAGAGCAACCTCCCAGTGGAAGCCTAGAACAATGTAGGGTCAGATTCAGCAAAGCAGCTCCTTTGATAGCGTGGGTTGGCTGGTAACCTCCACAGATACTGACTGGCTTGTGTAACAACATCTCTCTGGACGCTAAACAGAGCCTCAAAGACAGACTTGATTGGTAGATCATTAGCAAACAATTTGGGGAGAAAGGCCAACTTCTGTAGTAATTTGTAAAATTTGTAATTTGTTTTGGTAAATCATAAATATCATAAAAGAGAAAACAATCCTCATCCACATTCCTTAGCATTTTTAATTCCACTTACAACTTTGAACTACTCTTCTCACGCACATAAAAGCTACCTCTTTCTGCTGTCAGGCACAAAAAAAAAAAAGCCAGACTGACAAGGATGAATGCATGTACAATAGAAAAAAAAAATTCCACAGAACATAAACCAAAAATCAATTATAAGCACTGTAAGATTAGATTACTGTAACAGCTCCAGTACTTATACAAGCTCCTAATTCCATTTTATCACTTCAAAGCTACTCAAGCTATACATTTTCATGACAGTAAACCCTTTGCTATCACATTCATCCCCGTTTTTTTAGACCTGAGAAAGATATAAACACAGCAGAATCCTTCAGAACTAAATCAGCAGTGAAAAAAGAAAAAAGAAAAGCTGAATTCGTCATAACTAGGGCTGACAACTAGACACAGACATCATCTTTCTAGGTCATTTTGTTAATGCACCACCTGCAATAGTGCACTGTAACTACAGAAGCCCTGTTTTCCATTAATGAACATAAAGGGATTATCATAGTTTTGTCAGCCCTCCACCCCTTCTGAAACTACTTTAAGACTGTCTCCAGTCTTACCTAGGCAGCAGAAAGAATATTCCTCCAACTCTGAAATTTACAGAACAGTCATAGGATTACAAAGTTGTAAGGAATTGTTGTTTCTGCACCTCCTGAAGAGCAAGACTGCTCCTCTTCCATTAAGAGTCCCAGACAGGTTCTGAAGCTCTTAATGATCAATCTATACTAAATCCAATAGGTACAAAAAGGAGAGGGGAGGGGGGAAATGTGATCAAAATAAAGGGTAGAGAACTTTTCCTCCTCTCTTGCAGTGTATCTATAGAGCTTTGGTAGCCTGTACTGGTAGTGGCAGCAAACTGTGCTGGAATCTCAAAAGAGCTCAAAGAGAGGCAAAAATGAGAACAATGAATACACACAGCATACAGCAGTTGAGCACTACCCTCGTTAACTGCAGGAGGAAAGAGGAATGGTAGTTCAATGGGACTTATACACCCTAAAAATGTGGTGCAAACATGCCTTCATATGCAGCACTGTAATCTTCAGCCTGCAATTAAAAAAAAACAAAATCCAACCAAAAACAACAACAAAAAAAAAACCCAAAAAAA